CCGCAATCCCTTCTCCTCCATCCTCTTCTCGGGATCTTGGGCATGCATGCACACGCGCCCAGCTTGAGTTCAACACCTCAGGTCCAGAACTTGAACTGTGGTTGGCTACATGAGAGTCCAGCAACATAGCCATTACACCAACTGCTGATCCCAAGATTCTCTTTAAAATAGTCCAGGAAGGGGCCAGCAAGTGGCATAGTGGTTAAGGGCACTGGACTCCCACATGGCTAACTACAATTCAAGTCCCGGACCTGGCAGTTTGCTTTCTCACTTTCCCCCCTCTCTCTGTCTCTGTCTCTTGCTCTGCCTCTCTCTGGTAAAGTTAAACTAAATAAACAAAACTAAATTAAAAACAATTTTTAAAAATAAAATATAAAAATATAAATAAATAAAATAGTTCAGGGGAAAAATGGTGTATCAGTAAAACTGGAATGACAGAATACTGATCAATTTTGAAGCTGAGTAATGGTTGTATGTTTTACTGTTCTGCCATTTGTATGCATTTGACAATTTTCATGATAGAAAGTTGCAAAAGAAATCAAATATGGCAGATTGAATCAAAAGTTTTTTTTAATTATTTATCTAATTTCATTTGTTATTGTCAGTTTTTTTTTTTTTTCATTTGACCACCAGAGAGAGAGAGAGAGAGAAAGGGAAAGTGAGAAAGCAAGCTACCAGGTCCAGGACTTGAACCATGGTCAGCCATGTGGGAATCCAGCGCCCTTGTCCACCACACCATCTGCTGGCCCCAAATCAAAAGTTTTGATTTGTCTTGAATTCTAGAAATTTCATCTTCTAGTAGAAGATTCTGCGTTGGACCCTAGGACAATGACAGCATGCTGTTGTCCCAGAAGGATATCTGACTTGGAGCTGAACTTCTCTGCAATAAGAAAACCCCCCTGAATCAATCCCAGAAGACACTTTAGATTGGGATTGATCAGTTTTTCTTTTCTTTAGGAAAAAAAAAAATATTTCCTCCATGACCAAGAGAGACACACACAGAGCAAGACAGAGAGGAAGAGAGAGAGCCCCTCCACCAAGACTCTCCATGCTGTGATCCACCCCTAGCCTCAGCCAGCCAGGATCATGGGCATGTGTGTGAGACCTCAGGACACAAGCCTGGAACGTTCCTGTGTGACCTTAGCAATGTGGAGCATACATTACTGCTGTGCCACCGTCTGGCCTGACCTGACGTTTTGCAGAGATGATTACACCTTCATGTTCTATTAGTTAGCTATTGCTGCGTAACAAGCTGTCCCAAATTAGAGATTCAAAACAAACAAATGTTTGTCATTTCTCACAATGCTCTGGGTTGACCGGGATTCTGGGATAACAGACCCAGGACCAGCTGGCCTAGGACAAATTTACTCAAATGTCTAGGGCCTCAGCATTGCCTCCTGTGGGAGGTTACCTAGATCAGTTTACGTGATGTGAAGCCTTGCAACAGCTAGAGACAGGGTGAGTCCCCATGCATCATATGCCCCGTTGGTCAGGGCAAGTCACATGGCCAAGTCCAGATTAAGGGTGGAGGAGGGCCAGTGAGGTGGCATGGCAAAGGCCTACATGCCGGCTGCATGGTTTGAGTTCCGGACCTGGTGGCTTAAAAAACACATTAGGCATGTGTGCCTGCGTGTCCAAAATCTCAAGAGGAGAATGGAGAAGGGACTGCAGCGTGGTTATCCTTCCTGCGGGGTGATTTCTCTGCCTCTCTCTGATGAGAGCATGTGCCCCATAGCAGGGGGGAAAGGTGGAGGAGCAGAGACTCTTTTGCAGACTATGCTTGTACCAAGTGGGAGCAGAGGCTGCTGGCCGGTCTGACCCAGCTGGCCTCTGAATGACACCGGTGTCTTCAACGTGGGCAGGGAAAACACTCTCCTGTGTTATTCAGGTGCCCCAGACTGGGCGTTCTATTTCCACCAGTAGAATAGGGATAGTGAGTGAAATCTTACTCAGAAATATAGACCCTGCGGGACCAGCAGTTAGCATAATGGCTATGTCGCTGGACTCCCATGTAGTCGACTGCAGTTCAAGTCCTGGACCTGTTGGCTTAAACTCATGCCGGGCGCATGTGTGTGCGTGCCCAAGATCCCGAGAGGAGAAGGGATTGTGGCATGGCCATCCCCCTGGGAGTTGATTTCTTGCTTTCTGTCTCTCTGTCCGTCTGATGAGTGCACACGCCCTACAGCAAAAACTTCTCCATAAATAAATAAATGAAAAAGAAATATAGATCCTGGGCTAGTGAAATTAACCATTAGAAACAGTTGCTATTTCTGTTTTTCATTTGCCTCCCTTTTTCCTGTGGCTTAAACTTGGTCCTATTTTTCTTTCATCTCCTCCTTACACAGAACGTCTGTGACTCACTCCTGTGACTTTGCTTCTTGTGCCTCCCCACATTCTCCAGGGACACAATGGGCGAAGAGGCCTGGTGGCTGTGTGGCCTTGGTCCAGCTCTCCCCACCAGCCAACCCATCTTTCTTTTTCCTTTTCATTCATTCTTTCTTTCTTTCTTGTTTTTTTTTTTTTTTGCTATAGGGCATATGCGCTCGCCAGACAGACAGAGAGACATAGAGAGATAGGGAAAGTGAGAAATTACCCTCCGGGGGGATGGCCACACCGCAATCCCTTCTCCTCCATTCTCCTCTCGGGATCTTGGGCACGCCGGGGGGATGGCCACATCGCAATCCTTGACTATATGGGAGTTCAACGACCTAGCCATTACGCCAACTGCTAGTCCCTTTTCTTAAAGTTTTGCCATAGGGTGCATGCACTTGGAAAGAGACAGAGAGACATAGAGAGATAGGGAAAGTGAGAAATTACCCTCCGGGGGGATGGCCACATCGCAATCCCTTCCCCATGCTGCTCTCAGGATTTGGGGTATGCACACACATGCCCAGGGTGCTTTCAAGCCTCTGGGTCCAGGACTTGAACAGTGCATTTGGTCATGAGGGATCTAGCCACCTTAACTCACATGCCATCGGCTTGCCTTGTGGTTTTTATTTATTTATTTATTTATTTTTATCTCTAGCATGTGGGTTGCATGGAATGGCTCTGAGGCCTTTTTGACTCTGCCCTGCTTATAGGAAAGTGGCCAAGCGAGACAGGTGATCAAATACTCTGCTCCCTGGGATTCCAGTAGGGCTTGGCTTCTTCGGGGAGAAGAATGTTCTGGGTGGGTGTAATAGATTTATTGCAAAAGGGACGCCAATTCTTCACACACACACACACACACACGCACCCATGCCTTTTGCAATGACATTTTGCATTTCTTTCCATCAAGGAGCAGTCTTCCCTCTCCCCCCAGCCTTCGAATCTGTTTTGGCCAGTGGATGTGATGGTGTCATTGTTCTGAGCTGAGGCCTTAAAGGGCCTTGACTCACTGGCTGCCCTTCTCGGAACATTGATTCTACTGTGAGAGCAAGAGGAGGTGTAGTTTTTGTGTTTTTAGTTCTCTATGGGGTGTGTGTGTCACCAGAGAGAGAGAAGAGAGTGAAAGTGAGAAAGAACTTCCTTTATTTTTTTTTAGAGAGAGATTTTTGTTATAGGGTGCATGTACCTGTTAGAGAGACAGAGTGAAACAGAGACAGAAAGCGAGAAATCACACTTCCCCACCCCCAGTGGGATGGCCATGCTGCAATCCTTTCTTCTCTATTCTCCTCAGGATTTTGGGCACACACGCACATGCATCCAGCATTTTAAGCCGCTGGGTCTGGGACTCTTGGGGACTTGAACCACAGTGGACTATGTGGGAGTCCAATGATGTAATCATTGAGCCATCTGCTGGTCCTGAGAAAGCACCTTCTCAGGAGGGATGGTCATGCCACAATCCCTTCCCCTTCGTTTTCCTCTCAGGATTTTGGGCATGCTCACATATGTGCCTAAGTCCGCATGTCCGGGACTCAAACTGCACAACCATGTGGGATCCAGTCTCCTCAGCCACCCTGCCACCTGCTAGCCAAGGAGATGCAGGTTTATGTTCAGGACACAGCTAGTGAGAGGCCCCAAGCCCCTGCTCTATCAGCTGGGTGACAAATCACCACAAATACTGGCTGGGGCCAGTAGCGGGTGTGGTAGTTAAGGTGGCTGGATCCACACGGCCGCTGTGCGGTTTGAGCCCCAGATCTGATGGCTTTAAAAAAAAACATGCTGGGAGGGACCAGCAGTCAGCGTAATGGCTATGTCGCTGGACTCCCACGTAGTCGACCGCGGTCCAAGTCCCGGACCTGGTGGCTTAAAACTCACGCCGGGTGTGTGTGCGTGCGTGCCCAAGATCCCGAGAGGAGAATGGAGGAGAAGGGTTTGCGGCATGGCCATCCGCCCTGGGGGGTGATTTCTCGCTTTCTGTCTCTCTGTCTGTCTCTGCCTGGCGAGCGCACGTGCCTTATAGCAAAAACCTCTCCAAAAAAAGAAACAAAACAAAACAAAGAACAACAAAAAAGACATGCTGGGAGCGTGTGCATGCATACCCCAGACCCTGAACTCTGTAGAACTGGATGCCAAGTGGAACTTTCTTGGAAAACTTTCTCCTGGGTGGAATTGGATGGTGGGGGAGGCGCATTCTCAAATATCTCACTCACCCCATCTGCACCCTCAAGAGAAAGAGGAAGAGAGAGAGAAGGAGAGACAGGGAAAGAAAAACAAAAAAATGAGACAGGAAATAGAGAGACAGGGTCAGAAAGAGAAAGTCAGAGATGAAAAGAAAGAACAGCAGCCTGGGCTCTCCCAGGATCTGGAAAGGCCACTTTTTGGGAGCAGACGGGTCGCAGGCCACTGAGTAGGCTGCATTCGCCAGGGAGGGGCCCTAAGGCCTTTGAGCTGTGTCCATTTCTGGCTCTGTGAGTGGCTTGGTTTCCCCTGTGTGTCCCAGAGCTCTGGCTTCTGTGTCATCGGGTACCTCCCACTGAACCATGTCACATTTCATCCTCCTTGGGCTCCGTGGGACCACAGATGACACCTGGCTTTGTAACTCAGTATGGTGTGTGTGGCCTGAAGCTGACTGGGGTCCGTTTCTCATTTTCATGGTTCCCCATCAGGATATAAGTGGAGTTCTGCACTGGGGCCTTCCCTTCTCCATCTCACCCTGTTTTCAGGATTTTAGGCACACAGGTACACCTGCCTGGCATGCTTTTCAAACTGCTGGGTCTGGGACCTGAACCAAATAGTCAGGCGTCTGGGATCTAGCTCCTTAACATAAGACCATGGGCTGGCCCCTGAAAAAGATCAGTTTTACCATATGTAAGTTATACTTCAGTAAACCTGGAAAAAAACCAAACTATTGACAACTGAAGTGACAGTGGGGCCTGCTCACAGGGATGCTGTAACGGCAGGGAGATGGCCACGTGAGATGGAGGAGGTGCCAGCTGAGGGTCAGGGGCGACTCCGCACGAGGGGTTCCTTGAACAACCCACATGCTCTGTATGAGGCCCTGCCTATCTGCTGGGCACTTCTGAGGTAAGGGCTGGCACTTCCAGGGCATTCTTTGTGGGTGCTAGGGATGCCACAAAGGAGACCCCCAAGTCATACCTGTTCCCCCGGATGCCATCGACCTGCGGCCATGTACCCTGGCCAAATGGAACAGGACTCAGTCAGAACTGAACTCAGAGCTGGGCGTGCCACCAGCCAACTCAGCCTCACCTGCAAAATGGGGACAGTAATTCACACCTTGTAGATTCCGGGCGGGGGCATTGACTTTGAGAGTGGCCACCCAGGGGGCTGAGTTTGAATTCCTTTTGCACTTCTTATAAGCTGTGTGACCTTAGACAAATGTCTTAACCTTTCTGAGCCTCAATTTCCTCATAGATAATACTGGTATTATGGCACCATAAGATTACTGTGATGATTCAATGACTACTGAAAGTCCTTAGCCCTGGGTAAGCACACAGTGAGCTCTCAAGAACTATTCCAGGGCCAGCAAGTAGCATGTTGGTTAAGGAACTGAGCTCCCACTTGCAGTTCAAGTCCTAGACCTGGCAGCTTGCTTTCTCACTTTGCCCCTCTCTCTCTGTTTTCTCTGGTTAGAACATGTGCCCTATAGCAAATTAAAGAATAATGGTAATAAATAAAATTAAATAATTATTTTTGAAAAAAGAGCTATGCCATTATTATAGAATTGCCAAATCTAGTAAAAAAAGAAAAAAAAGAAGGGACTCCCAGTTCATTTGGAATTGCAAATTGCAGGTGAACAGTGAATACTTTTTTTTTAAAGCGTAAGTATAGTCCATGCAGCATTTGGGATATACTTATATTAAAGAAAACTGATAACACAAGTTAAACTGATAACACAATTAAAACTAATTGTACAGGTATTTGTTACGTATCTGAAATTCACACTTAACTGGATGCTGAGCATTTTACCTGGCAATCTTACTAACGGGAAGTGGATTGGGGGGAACGCGAAGATGGAATTAGGTCCAAAGGTGAGTGGAGGGGTGAATGATCTACTCCTGCTTTATAGACCTCCCCTGCAGCCTGAGTCGCGCACGGACTTGACAGGGAACCTCACCTTCAGGAAGCCTCTCTGATGTGTGAACACGCACTGCCTGCTCATTCCTTGGTCCTGCTTTTGTTCTGGCCCAAGCCTGCCAGCTGGTGTCATTGTAACTCACTCCTGGGCCGGGGCTGCCATGGGTTGTTCTGAAGTCATTCATTGTCTGGAGCCGTGTCCCTGAGGAGCCCGAGGCCAGGGCAGGGTGGCCCTGGTGCAGGCAGTGGGTGCTGCTGCCCGGGGACCCTCTCTCCGCGGCTGACGGCTGACGGCAGTGCCGCTCTTACATAATCGGTTTCTCTCCTCCTTTCTCTTTCCAGAGCCAGATTTCACACTGAGCAGCTGCAGCCGGAGAAATCAGAGAAAGCGCCACCCAGCCCCAGATTCCGAGGGGCCTGCTGGGGACTCTCCTCCTCCTCCTCTTCGAGAAGGAAGACCCCGAGGCCGCTGTCTCAGACCAGCTCCTGGGCTGCGATGGGACTTGCAGCCACCACCCCCCGGCTGTCCTCCACCCTGCCAGGCAGATAAGGGTGGCTGCTGCCCCAGGAGCACCTGCCCTCTTCCTGCTGCCTGGCTGCTCCTCCGGGGCCAGCCCTTCCCCAGCTGGTGGCACCTTTGCTGACCTGAGGCCATGTAGGCCCTGCCGGGGTCTCTGTGGACACACCACTGGGGACAGCACCTCCGCTCTCCTGGGAACCCAGCTCCAACCATGCCCCGGGGATTCGCCTGGCTGCGCTGTGAGTACTGGGGGTCCCTGGGACCAGCCCTTGGAGGCCCTGGCCCAGAGCTGCCGTAACCATGGCAACCAGGGCATGCTCACTGGTGGGAAGTTGAGATGCTCCCCAGCCTGACTGCAGGTGTCCCCGGGCACTCCCACGGCTGGTGCCCTCTACCCTGTGTGCGGCTGACCATGGGCTCAGGCTGGTGGGCAGTTGACGAGTGGGCCCCGGCAGTAGGTGGCAGAGTCCGCCGCTCTGGAGTTGTTGGCGTGGCCAGTACCACAGGGGCAGAGGTGGCGGAAAGGATTCCCATCCTCCCTGGGTGTGGCTGGTGGGGGTGGCGCTGTGGCTCATGAAAGTGCCGGAGACCCACGACAGCACACATGGGCGAAGTGCACCAGGTGCCTGGAGCTGGCAGCCCATTCCCTCAGTCCCTCTGTCACAGACAGATTTAAAAGCAGAACGCAGGGTCGTCAGTAAAAAGAGAAATAAGTTGAAACGAGGACAGAACCGTGCGAGGATCCGGAAGCCTCCCCTGCCTGCTGGGTGGGAGGCCAGAGCACGATCCCGTCATCTCTGAGATTCAGCTGAACTGACTCCAATTCAACACGTATTTCTGGTGCCGCCCACGTGCCCACTGGAGAGTCAGTGCCATGACAACAAGGACCATGCCTGTCCCGGCCTCCGCCTCCAGTGCCAGGCCTGCCCGGGTTCAGGAACTGTCTGCTGAATGAGTCAGGTCAGGCCCGAGCTTCCAGGGGGAGTCAAGGCAGAGCTGTGTCCACCCTGGCCTCTCAAATGTTGGGACATTAAGAATGGGTGGGGAAAGCCCGACAGACCCAGTGTTCTGGAAGCTTCCAGGTCACAGGGAGCAGAGGAGGCTGTGAGGATAAGGAGTCCTGGGAAGGTCTCGAGGGTGGGCGGTGTTTGCACAGGCAGCCACGCAGATGGTGCGGGCAGAGGCTCCGCGGTGGGACTCTGAGAGGCCAGGCTGGGAAGCTGGTTGGCCCAGGTGGCTGAGGCCTTGAAAGGCAGCAGAGAGAGCTTTCCTCACCAGGTGACAGGGAACCCTGGAGGGGCTGTGAGCCGGGGAGGAAGGTGGTGACCAGGAGAGCCTCTGCTTTCGGAGGTCAACCTGGCAGTGCTTGAACGAGTTGCTGCCTGGGCAGGAGGTGATGGCAGTCGGCCCCAGAGGTGGAGGTGAGAATCAGAGGGCGTGGCTGAGGGCAGAAGGCTCCACAAGGCAGATCTCAGGACTTGACAGGGACTGGCTGGGAGTGAGGAAGAGGGAGGGGATGCAGGGCAGGGTGGGGGCTTCCTGCTACAGAGAGGGGCTGGGGTGCTGGGCGTGCTGAGTTGCCATTGCACAACGTCACGAAGGAGGTGGGTTAGAGCAACAGGAACGCACTCGCTTACGGTTCTGGACACCCGAAGTCTGAGCCAGGTGTCAGAGGGCCACGCTCCCATGAAGGTTTTGGGGATGGAGCTTCCTGGGATTTCTTGGCTTATGGCAGCGTCCCCACAATCTGCTCCGTCCCATCTACACATGGCCTCCCCCTCTGTGTCCTCTCCCCTTTTTGCACTTTCTCTAAATTGCTAGATCTTTCCTTCAGCAAGGACCCAGTTTCCAAGAACCTCACATTCTGTGGTTTCAGGTGAATATACTTTTTTGGGGGATGCTATTCAACCCAAGACACAGGATCCAATCTGGTCACTGAGGTGAAGGTGACAAACTTCACTCGTCACTGTATAAAGAGCCATCTTGGGGAGGGGGTGGATGTCCCCCCTGCCCCCTGCTGCCACTGTCTCCTGCCCTGGGAGCTAGGAAGGGAGCCCCTTACTCACCTTGGGCCTTCTTTGGCCTGTTCTTCTGTCTTGCGGGTTCTTACCTCTGGTGGGGGTCCTCCTGTCGAAGGTCAGTGGTTGCACTGGCAGTGGGGCTTCTAGGGTGCAGAGCGTGGTGGGGGGAGTGGTCTTGGGGTTGCAGCTGCTCCTGGTCCCATTTCCTGGCCTGTTTCCCCAGGTGAAGGCAGCAGAGAAGAAACTTAAAGCTGGAAACAGTGACCTGGCTGCATACTTAGGTCTGGGGAGAGGCAGGTCATCCAGAAACCGGGTTTCCTGGGCAGCCTGTATGCCCACCTGTGTCAGGCAGCGGGGCAGGACTCCGAGGGTGAGGTGGAGTGGGCAGCCAGTGGTAACTGCCAGGTGGGAAGGAAGACCCAGGGTGGACAGAAACACTGGTTTTGGAGGAAAAGAAGAAATGCAGATGTTCATGGAAATCCCAGTGGGCCAGGTGTGGCCCTGGGGACACCAGCTCCAGACCGCTGCCCTTGGTCCACCTCGGAGTGTGGCTCAGACCAGCCACAACACCTCCTCCTGGAAACTTGCTAGGAATGCACGTTCTCTGCGGAGAACTTGTCTCTGGAGCCGGGCAGCCGCCAGTGCCTTCATACTCTGGGTGATTCCGATGCCTGCTCCCATTTCCTCGGCTCAGGCCACCCTTGCCCCTCACTTGTGAAGTTCTCGGGGAAGAGCAGGCCGGGGCGCGCACTGGGCACCCGCACGCTCACTACGGGCTAGGCTGTCCATGCTAGGCAATGGGAGGGGGGCTGGTCGTACTAGAGACAGAGCCAGTGGGCTGCGGTAGGCAGGGGAGACCCTGGCTTGGGGGAAGAGGCGGGGCAGAGCCCGGGGAGACAGGGAGAAGCATGAGCAGACACCCCAGAGCAGGGACGATCCTGACCCCTGGAGCGGGTGCCGGGCTGCGTGGGCTTCTGCCTACTGGAGTCCGGACAGCAGTCGAGCAGATGTTGGAGGGTAGCACTGGTCAGGGCGTGTTTACCTGTTCCTCTGGTTCACGGCTGTGTCAGGCACATGGGAACAGAGAGAGGAAGTAGGTGACAGATCGTAAAAGTGCAACCTTGCAAAAACGGCAGTCGTGGGCAGTTCCGCGGAGGGCAGAGCTGGCCGGCTGCCATCCACACAGGGCCCAGGGCCTGAGCAGAACTGGGGACCCACCTGTGTGAGAGCACACCTGGAGAGGGGTCCAGCAGGAGGGGCGGCGGGCAGGACTGAGCGGGTGCGGGTAGGGGAGGACGTGGGGAAGGGACACAGCAGGGAATGTGGCCGCGGCCAGGCGGGTAGAAGTTCAAAAATCTTAGATGCCAGCAAGCGAGGAGAAAGTCCAATTAGTAATTCTTACTCATGACTGGGGTGGAGCAGGGAGGTGACTCAGCCGGCCTGGCTACTTCTGCTAAAGAAAGGGGAGAAGGAAAGAAAGAAACAGACAGAAAGACAATGACTATTGCTTTTAACGCTACACGGGGTGTCTTCAAAAAGTTCACGGAAAATGGACACTGAAAAACCTGTGCATTTTTGCTTCAAGATAAACTTGTACTTTAATTTCATTTTTTCCACCGACTTGTTCAAGTCCCCTTATAGTAATAATAGTGATTGTAAAACAGAAAAATGTCCTACAAAATATAAAGATCATAAGTATCTTCCATAGAAAGATTTTCCAAACACACCTGTATGTAACTAAGAAAATTCAAGTCATGCTTTGAACCCAGACATTGTTGAGACATGCTTTTTACAACTCTTTAAGCATATCGTAAGTATCTTTTTCATCACATAAACTTATCATAAGCATCCTTTGACAATGGGATATTTTGGCTATATTCATGATTATAGAACATCTAGAACGTTGACCGATTTCTACTATTATAAGATAATGCTACACTATAAGTCTATGTCCACAAATCTTGCTTAAGTCTCTCTCTCTTTTTTTTTTGTTTCCTTCTGATTTATCCCTAGAAATTACTTTAGTGGGCTGGAGAGTGTAGACTTTTTTTTGGAGAGATTTTTGCTATACGGCGCGTGCGCTCGCCAGACAGACAGACAGAGACAGAGAGACAGAAAGCGAGAAATCATCCCCCAGGGGGAATGGCCACACCGCAATCCCTTCTCCTCCATTCTCCTCTCGTGATCTTGGGCACACACGCACACATGCCCGGCATGAGTTTAAGCCACTGGGTCCGGGACTCGAACTGTGGTCGACTACGTGGGAGTCCAGCGACATAGCCATTACGCTAACTGCTGGTTCCCTAGTTTTTTTCTTTTTTTAGTTTTTTTGCCATAGGGCATGTGTATCTGCCAGAGAGGGAGAGAAAGAGGGAGAAGGAGAGTGGGAGGGGGAGAGAGAGAGAGAAAGGGAAAG